TGAGCTCTAATAAGAGCGAAACTCGAGTCCAGTGCTTCCCTTTGGTGTGGACTCACCGGGATAATTACGCCAGAACAGGAACACGGCCGTTCAAACGAGAGTGGTGTGGCTATGAACAAATTGAGATAGTTGTACGGCAGTGAAGCACTAGTGGTGCTGGAATTAATGATGATGACGAGCTGGGCTCCTACGAACGCATGCACACTGGCGCCGGTCATACCCTTATTAGTTTGTGGGTATGACAAATCAAATCGGCAGTTTAATGAAGAAGTTTGGATACCGGTGAACAGCAAACATACACAATATAATATTCCACTTCCTAAAGAGAGACCTTGCCGCCTCTGTAATTAAGACCATTTCACGCTGATCCCGTAAACTTAGCCTTGAAATTGGTACGCATTAGAAGCCATTTCCTAACCTAGCAACAAAGACCAGTCTTAATGTCCTCATCTCAAGAAAGACCAGTATGCGGGGTTTGTGTAGTGGGCTATTGCGGTTTTTTATAGCAACTGAGAGTCTGAACAGTCGCATGGATGCAACATCGTTCTATAACAAGGCGTTCCTCCAGGTGGCATACAAACGCTAAAATTTTCCCCGTGTGGAAACACATTTCAGATGAGAGCGCTTGTCGCTGGTCTCTTGTGGATTATTCGAACGGTTTGTTCCCTCCTAGGAGGGACATTATTATTTGTCTTAGAGAACTTTCCCTCTACCAACGAAGACCGGTTAGGTCGTCCGCTGAGGGTGGTCCTAGTCCGGGGGGACTAGTATATGTCGGAACATGTCAGCTGGTCTGAAATTGGAACAATTTTACCACTATCAAACATCTTACGTCATGACGGCATACCCTATTCATCCGCTGACCTTCTTTCGTTTGTGACAATCATTTGGTGAAATGCCTACCCTCACGTATCGTGTCGTACAATGCACACAGAAATCATATTCGCAATTTCGGCAGGCTCCTTATCGTGATGTCGCAGTCAAGGTCGCCCATAACATCCACTTTGGTTGGTGGTATTAAAATCTACTTTTAGTGGTCATCAGTGTTGTGTCACTGGGGATTTTCTTTTCCATAAATAGAGGTGAACACAGACACAAGTTGAAACTCGACACATTGCGAGCAAGGGATAAATACGCCCGATATGCCATGCCACTGAGTGGATTTGAATGAAAGTTCGGCCATATGGACACGTTTGGCAAGCAATTAATCATCAATAATTAATTAATTAATCATCATTAATTAATCAATGAACAATTGGCATTCCTGGGCGATAGCCACAAGGGTGAACCATTTGTTCGGGTCGATAATGCCATCGGCGACTTTGTAACCGATCAACACAAACCCACAATTGACCCACTGCTTTACCAAATTTCCATGACCTTCTACTCAGCAGGACGAAATCTTGCTTCCGGTCTTCAGATTTGCATCACACCTACCGAAGTTAGAAGCTAGAAGTTAGAGTTATAACTGTGGTGGTGTAGTCAAATTCTTTGGGATAAGGGCATAATTACTTGTTTGTTTTAAATATCTGGAACGCGTTCCTGCTCCCAATCTAACTGGAGTAGAGCAAAAAAATATACCACCATCCTCAGAAAGCTAG